ACTGTATGTATGTATGTATGTATGGTAATGTATGTATGTATGTATGTATGTCTGGTATGTGTGTATGTATGTCTGTCTGCTATCCTATGTCTGTATGTCTGTAATGTATGTCTGTACTGTAATGTATGTATGTAGTGTATTCATGTATGTCTGTTGTATGTATGTATATGTTATGATCTGTACTTCGTTATTAAATGTCATGTATGTATTTAGGTTATGTGTGTATGTATGTATGGATGGTATGGTTGGATGTTGTCTGTATGTATGTGTATGGTATGTATGTATGTTATGTATGTGTGGTAATGTTATGTCTATGTCTGTATGTATGTAATTTATGGTCTGTATGTCTGTCCTGTATTTCTGTATGTCTTTACTGTCTGTTATTCATGTCAGTATCATTGGATGTCTTTATGTATGTCTGTATGTCTGTATGTATGTCATGTCTTAGTCTGTATTTCTGTCTGTCTGGAATGTACTGTATGTACTGTATGTCTGTGTGTTACTGTTATTTATGTATGATATGTATGCTATGTATGTATGTCATTCTGTCTGTCTTGTATGTCTGTATGTATGTCTGTCTGTTCTAGTATGTATGTCTGTATATATGTCTGTCTCTTGTCGTCATGTCTGTCTGTATGTATGTATGTATGTATGTATGTATGATCTGTATGTATGTATGGTGTGGTATGTATGTCTGTACTGTGTGTATGTATGTTATGTGTGTGTGTATGTATGTCTGTATGTATGTCTGTCCTGTGTGTATTCATGTATGTATGTATGTCTGTATGTATGTCTGTCTGTCTGTATGTATTTATGTCTGTATTGTATTTATGTACTGGATATATGTATGTATGTCTGTATTGTATGTTATGTAGTTAATGTATGTCTGTATGATATGTATGTATGTATGTCCTTTCATGGTATGTTATGTCAATGTCTGTTTGTCTGTTTGTATGGTATGTCTTCATTTCTGTATGTCAATGTTTTGTCTGTCTGTCTGTAAATGTACTGTCTGTCTGTATCTGATAATGTCGGTGTGTATGTGTTTCTGTGTGTGTGTATGTATGTGTGTGTCATGTGTGTATGTGTGTGTGTATGTATCTCTGTCTGTATGTCTGGTATGTCTGTATGTCTGTCTTTAGGTCTGTATGTATGTCCTGTTATGATATGTATGTATGTATGTATGTATGTATGTCATGTCTGTCTGTCTGTCTGTCTGTCTGTCATGTCTGGTCTGGTCTGTCTGTCTGTACTGTCTGTATGTATGTATGTCTGTATGTATAGGTTGTTGTGCATGTATGTATGTCTGATCTGTCTGTGTGTAGGTCTGTCATGTATGTTATGTATGTATTTCCTGTTATGTATGTCATGTATGTATGTCTGTTAGTATGTCATGTATGTATGTATGTAAGTAGGTATGTAGGTATGTCTAGCATGTATGTCTGTAAGTATGTAGCTATCGTTGTTAGTTGTGTCAGCATGTAGGTATTTAATGTATGTTAAGTATGTATGTAGGTATGTCTGAGTTTATACATGTCTGTATGTATGTCTGTATGGCTTGATGGATGGGAATTTATTTATGTCATGTATGGACTAGGATGGATGGCTGGATAGGATGGATGGATGGATGGATGGATGGCTGGATGGATGGATGGATGGATGGATGGATGGATGTGATGGGTTGGATGGATGGATTTGGGTGATGGATGGGTGGGTGGGTGGGGTGGGTGGGGTGGATGGGTGGCTGGGTGGATTGATGGATGGGTGGTGGGGATGGGTGGATGGGGTGGATGGGATGGCTGATGGATCGATGAATGAATGAATGGTATGCGATGGCTGGATGGATGTATTAATGGATGAAATGGTATGAATTTCTTGTATGTATGTATAGTATGTAATGTATGTATGTCTGGTATGTATGTATGTATGTATGTATGTAATGTCTTTTATGTATGTTATGTATGTATGTTTGGTATGGTCTGTATTTCTGTAGGTATGTTATGTATTATGTAATGTAATGTATGTCTGTATGTATGTATGTATGTATGTAATGTATAGTATGTTAAAAAATGTAGGTATTTATGTATGTATGTATGTATGTATGAATCTTCTGGTAGGTATGTACTAGTATGTTAGGTATGGATGTATGTATGTATGTAATGTACGTATGTCTGTCTGTATGTATGTCGGTATGTATGTATGTCTGTATGTATGTATGTATGTATGTATGTATAGTATGATATGTAATTCTGTAATGTAGGTATGTTATGTATGTATGTATGTAGGTATGTACTGTATGTATGATCTCGTATGTGATTTATGTATGTATGTCTGATCTGTATTTCTGTATGTATGTATGTTGTCTATGTCTGTATGTATGTATGGTCTGTATGGATGTATGTATGTATTGTATAGTATGTATGGATGTCTTTTATGTATGTATTATGTATTATTATGGATGTATGTATGTTAATGTATGTATTATGTGTGTATCGTGTTTATGTATGTATGTGTGGTATGGTCTGTATGTGTGTATTGTTTTAGGTGTTGTATATGAGTATGGTGTGTATGTGTGTATGTTGTATGTGTTGTATGTGTGGTTGTGTGTTGTGTGTATTGTGTGTTGTGTGCGTGTGCGTGGTGCGTGTGTGTGTGTATGTATGTTATGTCTATTGTATGTGTGTTTGTCTCTCTTACACTTTTACCAATAAATAAATCAAAAAAACATTCACACATGCATACATATACAGACAAACAAACAAACACACACAAAAACAATCTCAGACACACAGAAACATAAGTGAAAGCAAAAAAACTATCTAGAAAAATTCATGACATTTCCGAGCGTGTACTAAATGCACACAAACCAGTATTAAAATACGAACCATTATACTGCCAAAAAAATAAATAACTGAAAAAACAAGGGGGTGGAATTGTTTTTGCGCCCTTACTTAAAGGATGGGGAAAAAAAAAAAACAAAAAAAAATCTTTTTTTTTTTTAACCAAACTTAACCCCTCCCTTTTTTCCCTACGCACTAGAGCTGCTTGACATAGTATTACAATCATAGACGTCTGTGAATAAAATACTCTTTGGAAGTTAAAAACAATAACACCATAATTTAAATCTTAGAAAAAAGGGGATTTTTTTTCTGGGGCCTTGGGACAAAAAACGGGATGCCCTTTTTATGATTT